AATGCACCTTTTGAGTTGAACAATCTTTGAAAAAAGGAAAATTACATTCTGGGTTATGGTGAAAAGAGTGCACTAGGCAAAAACGTTAAGAAGCACTGCTATCGTTCAATATTCTATCTTATAGTCAAAACATAAGGATATCATAGACCGAGCGTTTGAGCAACGATGAGATATTAAAGAGTGTGCAAACAAGGAGGAGGCTTATACTTAACATGAGAAAGAGGCAACTGAAGTTTCTTGGACGCATGTAGGTTTCTGTACTTTTGGCATAAATTTTCGATACCTAAGTTTAAAAATTCTTGCAAAAATCAAATAATTGTCGAATTTTAATGAAACGTTCAGGACTTATTCACAAATGAATGAAATTATTTTTGAAATTTTTTTTTTTTAGAAAATCTTGTTAGAAAGAGATTTTTTTTAAACATGTTTCCACCCGCTTACATATTTTCATGAAATTTCGAGAAATTAAATCTTCAATCGCGGGATCTGTTTTATTAGTTATAAACAGGACTCTTTGTAAAAAGTAAATCACCAGTTTTTTTTTTTTTTTTTTTTTTGTAAAGCAGTACCTCCTATCATAGAAAATATGCTCTGAATTATAAAAAAATAAAAATGTAAAAAACTATGACATTAATTAATTAGAAAAGCTTTCACCTGTTTTTATAAATACGTTATACTAAGGACATTATTTTGTGAAGAAATAAATTTTTTTCAATTAATAATGTATTTTTTACAAATTTAAAAATTTTTTTTCATTAACTTCTTAATACTTCAAAAATCATTTAAAATTCTTTATTGCTTTCAAGCACGTAATGCAATGATAACGTTAATGAAAAAGTAAATTTACGAATCGAAATTTGAAAAGCACATAACAGTGGTTTGACCTTAAATATTTTTAAAATAATTTTAAAAAAATTTTATTGAAAAAAAAAAACGTTCATAATTTCTACATATGGAAATGTATACATGACATAATCCTTAAAAAATTTTAAACAATTATCTAATTAATAAAAAAAACTTTAAATAATTACCTAATTAAGAAAGTATGAAATAAAAAATATATATTACATAATTGCTGAATAAAAATGTTAATATTTAAAAAGTACTAGTTAAAAACGAAAAACCGCGTTCGCTTACTTTGCAAAAATTGTCAATTTTGATCATCCATAGTAATCTGTTATCACCTCGTCACAATTGAGCGTTTTTTAATCGTGATATGCTGCTTTTATTTTACGTGACCTAATGGAGGAACCTACATAATGAGGAAGGGGGGCCTGGAGAATCTGATACGCACGGGTCGAATAGAGGGAAAGAGAGACAAAGGAAAGCAAATCGGGACATACCTGGCGGGCTTAAGCAAGTGGATGACAGAACTTGGTCTGGGGGAGGAAATAGAGGGAAGGAACTTGTTGAGAACTGCAAGGGATAGAGGTGGGTGGAGAGCCATGATCGTCAACGTCCTGAAAGAACATGGCGCATAAAAAGAAAGAAGATATCTCGTTGTCCGTCCTTTTGGATTGCCGTTAAGTGTTCTGTATGATCGACCTATTTTTTTTTTAACGATCTAACATGAAAGGTATTCATTTCGTGCTTAATGATGCTTTATGTTATTTTCTCATACCCTGAACGAACGATATCAAGACCTCTATCCATCGGTGTTCTCATCTCCACCCCGTTCTCTCGTTTTTTTCAACCACAATATGACCTGCAATCCCCACCCCACTGTTTCTGGGGGTTTTTTTTTCGGGTGTCAAGGAGCAAAGGAAAGAGGGTGGATATTGACATTATTCGCATACCAAACATACAATGTACCCTGCCACTCGTGGTGTGATTACTGGAATATTCCGACATATACCAAAGACATCAAACAATTGGACGACCTGGGCACCTTATTGTAAAGGCCGAGTCAAGCGTCTCCAATCACGACCACGACGACGGTTCGTCTCCAACGTCAGGACTGCTACCACCATTGCTCTATCCACCACTGTTCCTGTTGAAACGCAGGCGAGAACGCCATTCATGACAATGATGATACCGATAGTAAGCATTATAAAAATTGAAGCTGTTATTATAAAACTAGCAAGGATACTCGGCTTTGCTCGGGACAAATCTATCCACTTTGCCCTGTTCAACTCCAAGTATCGTTTCTTTGCTTGCGATATCTGAGTGCCAATCAAAAAAAAAAAAAACTAAAAACAAAAATGGTTTTTGTTTTAACATAGCTATTGCTGCAGTGATTTTCCAAGCGTAGCTTAGATGTGGCAAAAGGTTGAAAGTGTGGGGTACCCAGTGAGGATCGAACTCACTATTCTGTCGTTACTGTTTTAGCGAGACAAGCTTGCTAACCATTACACTACCTCGAAGCGACTACGTAAATATTGCTGTATACTGCTGTAGACATCCTCGGCAATGTTTACCTGTACTATTAAAAAAAAAACAAATACAAGTACAATGCAATATCTATTATTTACCATGTTAGAAAGATTTATTATTCATCATTTTATAAACAAATAAATTTGAAAAGCAATCTTTTTATTAAAAAATTATTAAAATCTACAGCATTATTACAATGCAATATTTATTATTTACCATTTTATAAATAAATAATTATGAAAAGTATTTTTTATTCATAATTTTATAAAAATATTTATGACCATTAGAATGTGGCACCATGCATCCTGACGATTTGAAAGAAATATTTATAGATGTATGATTTGCTTTTTTACGGTTGATCAACCATTTGAGGATTATTTAAGACCGAAAAATATTTTAGGTTTTAAGAATAATTCTTTCTTTGCATTCAGGCGATTTGGAAGAAAGAAAGAGAAAACGAAGAAGAAAGAAAGAAAAAGTAATACGAGACGGGTCATAGGCGAAAACACACACACACACGGCTTAAGAGACGGGAATAAGGAAGAAAAGGGTTATTATTGATAGGTATCAAATGTCGAAAATATCTAGGTCACCTACGAACAAGCGTTGACCGATTTCCGCTTGTCCACGAAAAATGGAATTTTGTTATCAATGGATGTCACCAAAAGAAGAAATCCATTGTTGAACATTGACGAAACACAGACAGTCTTGACTGGGTGTGGAGAATTAAAATCCCACACAAGTAGTTTTCACTGGCTAAATTTTTCTTTTGACAGAATAGACTTTTGCCCTGCGATAATAAAGATTTTTGTTATCAACACATGAGCCAAAGGAAACTGACATATTTTTATTTCTGCTTTAGAGACGCCAAATTGGCTGGAAAATTCCTTTCTTAGACCATGTCAGATAATCCAGCTGTCCAGTGAATTGGCGATAAACTGCTTGACAAATGCCACATGTTGAAACCGAGAGTTGTCACATCAACCGCCCATGATAACGGCGATTTAATTAATTTTTTTTAGTTAAGCAAGGCATTTCTTTTCCAAAACAAAGCCAGGGGTTGTTCACGCCCGACTAAGACGTCATTGGCCAAGTGGATCACATGACGCACGAAGGAGGAGGAAAGATACCCGACCAGGACTTCATTGGCCGAGAGTGGTCACGTGACGCACGAAGAAAATCAGTCGACGCCCCCATCCAGAGTATAAGTATGAGAAGCCGCTACGAGGAAGTGGGGAGGGCAGTTCACGCCCCTCAGAAGCATGGTGAGAGAGTGGGAGTAAGAAAAGAGTTACCAAAAATGGAAAAGAGTGGAAAATCCCTAACCAGAAATAAGAAGGGTGGATACGTATTTAGAATTATCGAAGAACCCCTGGCGCCGACAGACCCACCCTACCAGACAGAAATCAGTTCAGCCCCGGACGGCGGAGGAAAGAGTTCGTTCGCCCCTAGCGGGCAGAAGAGGCCAGTTCGTTTGGCCCTGAGTGCAGAGTTCGTGCGACCCAAGCTGGCGAGAAGAAGTTCGTTCGCCCCGACGGCAGAGATGAGTGCCCAGTAGTTCAGACTCTGGAGAGAAGAAGTTAGTTCGCGCACCGACGGCAGAGATGAGTGCCCAGTTAGTTGAGCCCCGGACGGCAGACAGAGATGAGTGCCCAGTGTTGAAACCGCATCAAGATAGCTGACCAAGATTCACGCACACTTTTGGACTCTTCTTCAACCAAGAACAAGTAGTTTGAAGAGCGACTTAGAACCAGACCACAGAAATAAGTTTTTCGACTTCCGTCCAAAGACACACCGAAACACAAATTTCTTAGAGAGCAGACAACTTGAAACGTTAAAGTTTGCCTAGCGAAAGCGTCGTGCCACAATCCACAGAACGGGTCGGGAAGTAGACATAGTCCTATGTACCGAACAACTAGACATAAAAAGTTTGTTACCTTTTTCTTTGATACTTTGAACTTTGTGAGTTTTCATTTTATTTTCTTTTATACATATTTGTGTGTTATCACCCCCGTTGAACTCAGCTTGCATTACGGCCCCAACCCCTGTTTGATCTCATCTGTCTAAGATCAATTCACAACGTGGGTAGGCAGACTGGAGATCAGTGCAGTTACCCTGGTAACCAGGCGTTGGAAGCAGGTTGGGAACGGCGAGGCTGGTATCAATCTAACCAGATTCCTACCCGAATCACCAAAGGGTTAGAACGTCACGTTTGGAGCAGCGACACCCGGACGGAGCGGCGAGGAGCGAACAGCTGACGCCGCGGCGAAGACGTCACAATTGGTGCTGTTTAGGGACGTCACAACTGGCGCCGTGGTAGATCAGGATAGAACGTCACAGTCGGCGCTGCGACCGGGGACGACGTCACAAGAACATTGATTGATAGATTCGTTTCATACATTTTTGCGGGTTATCTAAAGCTAGAAAAAATTTAGGATGTAATACTCGCATTTTTTTTTTTTTAGATAATAATGATTTGGTGATACAAGTCTTACTAATTAACCTATAGATGGGGAGAGAAGAGGTGGATTCATACCGTGTAAGTGGATATAATAAACCCAACGGGAATTGGAGCTTGACTCTTTGATTCTGAGCCATTATTCACTGCACCATCTGCACATCCAAACTTACAGCATCTGGTATTCCCCAAGCGATTACCCATCTAGGTACTAACCAGTATCGACGATGCTTAACTTCGGTGATCGTACGGGAACCAATATTTCAACGTGACGTCGCTGTATGCCATAACATCCGCATATCCAAATTTACAGCACCTGGTATTCCTAAGCTGTCACTCATCTAGGTACTGACCAGGATCGATGATGCTTAACTTCGGTGATCGTACGGGAACCAATGTTTCAACGTGACGTCGCTGTATGCCATACCATCCGCATATCCAAACTTACAGCACCTGGTATTCTTAAGCTGTCACTCATCTCGGTACTGACCAGGCTTGACATAAATTCAGTGATTGTATGGGAAATGGAAGTTACAACATGATGTGGCCGAAGCTTAACTATAAAATAAGACCATCACTGATAATATGTGCCAAAGCATCAAATATAGGTATTTCACGAAAAAAACATGTCTAGAAAATCTGCCGATAGATTATGTTTATTGTCATCCAAGTGCTGACATGAAGAATTCTTAAACGAAGCGTAGACACGAAGCACCTTGACGAAAACAAATTGGCGAAGCTGGCGAAGTGTGTCCTTTGGAATGGTTGGCAAAATATCAGTTAATAGCTGATCCATTCAAACTTTATAAAATGGTAAATAATAAAGATTTAATTATAGTTGCTACATATATTTTTATAATTTAGTGAATTTCCATAAACTTATGAATTAAAAATAGTTATTAGATTTATATCCTTATAAATTGGTAAATGATAAACATCACATTGTTAGTTGGTTTGCATAATTTGTTAATGTTGTAAATATAAAATTATATATAAGCAGTACAAATAAAACAATCTAATAAAAGTAATTTTTAATATTTTTGTAAATTCACAAGAACAAAGAAAGTGTATAAATTCACTTTCATATGTTCTGATATAATTAAAATTATACTCAGAGCTTTTTTAACGCAATAAACATCACCGATAGAGTGAATGAAGTATACAGTAATAACGGTGAGTTCGATCCTGACTAGGTGCCCCTACTTTCGGCCTTGTGCCACATCTAAGCTACGCTTAGAAAATCAATTTGGTCACCTCGAGGTGGTGTAATGGTTAGCAAGCTTGTCTCGCTAGAACAATTACGACTGAGTAGTGAGTTCGATCCTCACTGGGTGTCCCATACCCTCGGCCTCGTGCCACATCTAAGCTACGCTTGGAAAATCAATTTGGACACCTCGACTTGGTGTAATGGTAAGAAAGCTTTTCTTGCTAGATCAATTACGACTGAGTAGTGAGTTCCCTCCTCACCGGGTGCCCCATTCTTTCGGCCTTGTGCCACATCTATGCCGGGCTTAGAAAATCACTATACAGTAATAATGGTGTCAAGGGAAAATCCGTTCTTTTGACATACTGTTTTATTTTTTTATTTTTTATATATTATTATTTTTTTTCAGACAATGTTAAACTTCGCCAAAATTCCAAACATCGCTTTTGAAAGCAATAAACATTGCCGAGGGAGTAAATTGAGTATACAGTTATAGCGGTGTGAAGGGAAAAACAGTCCTTTTAACAAACCGTTTTTTGTGGTGGAAGGGTCAATTTTATAGTTTGCCAACATTTTAACCATCATTTTTTAAAACAATAAACATTGCCGAGGGCGTGAGTGGAGTTTACAGTAATAGCGGTGTCATTGGTAAAACCGTATTTTTAACACAAGGTTTTCTGCGGGCACGAAGGTTAAACTTTGCCAAAATTCTAATCATCGCTTTTTAAAACAATAAACATTGCCGAGGGAGTAAATTGAGTATCCAGTAATAGCGGTATCAAGGGGAAAACAGTACTTTTAACAAACCGTTTTTTTTTTTTTTTTTTTTTTTTTTGGGGAAGGGTCAATTTTATACTTTGCCAACATTTTAATCATCATTTTATAAAACAATAAACATTGCCGAGGGAGTGAGCGGAGTTTACAGTCATAGCGGTGTCAAGGGAAAAACCTTCCTTTTGACAAACCGTTTTTTGTTCCTTTTTTTGTTTCGTTTATTTTATTTTTATTTATTTTTTTTTGTTTTGTTTTCTTTCTTTTTTTTTTTGTAGGCACGAAAGTTAAAAATTTGCCAAAATTTCAATTATGACTTTTTAAAACAATAAACACTGCCGTGGGAGTGAATGGAAATCACAGTAATAGCGGTGTCATTGGAAAAACCGCCCCTTTTGATAGAACGTATTTTTTGCAGGCAAAAAGGTTAAACTTTGCCAGAAGTTCAATAATTTTAAACGTTTTGTTTCCAGTTTACTTGATCTCCAGTATGATATCATTTATGTTGTTAGATTTCCAAAATAAAAAAAACCAGACGAATGCTTGAACGCTTGTCGTGAAGCTTTCAGTGCAATTTGACTAATAGCCATAAGCGATGTTCGACCGTTTCTGTTATAGTCGAGTAGCTCAAGAGGAGACAACTGTGATTGCCTTCACCACAATACCAATAAAATATATTAACATTGCTCGCTTCTCATGATACAGATACTAATCTTTAACGACATGTGTGGATTCGTGACATATTTTATACCGCTATAAATATATCTCCAAATTCAATCACGAAAATTTGACACCTAAGTAAAAATAAAAGCTATAAAACATGTATAAAACTTAGTCTGACCCAAAAAAGAAATTCTGACATAAATATTTTTATTTTGTATATTTTAAGCAAAACCGGATATATCTAATGAATATTGTTTAATGTTGCTATAAAATACCATTGCCTTAAAGTGGGTCATCAATTTTTAAAAAAATCCAGTCTAATTATATAGATTTTAATAAAATCCATAGTACAGGGTTTTCGAATAGTTACTGTGAACTTTTCTAATCATATACTTTTTTTATATTTCGGATGTTTCTCTTATATCGTTGGTTGATTTTGTTTAGCGGGATATCAAGCTCTGTGTGTTATTTAATGCCGTAATGTAAATATTTTGAACAGAATTTTATGGCTTCAACTAAATATATTTTAAATTGTATGCCATCAACTACAGATAAAATATAATGTTTGTCATTTCGCTATAAAATGAATTAAGGGTAATTTTGCTATAAAATGAATTATGGGTAATTTTGCTATAAAATGAATTATGGGTAATATTGCTATAAAATATAACGCTGTTCATTTTTATTTAAAAAACGTATTGTTGGTCATTTTGCTATAAATAGTTATTGTTGGTAATTTTTTTATATATAAAAAATGTATTTCTGTTTTTCTTTACTATCAAAATGTATTTTTATACATTCGTAGTGTTTTGTTTTTGTTTGGGGTTTATTATTTGCGCATGACGGGGACCCTAACACTCTGGGTCAGGGTGGACCTAGGAACAGCAGCAATTAAGTGGAAGTTCCAAGCTCCTCAAAACCTCAAATCTTCTTTCTGCCGGATGTAGTTTATCGTCAAGACTGACTCCAGTGTGGTCTTAACAACTGAAGAACGTGTATTTCTCGTCGAAGACGTATTTCAAGAAAGTAGCAGATACACAGATTTGATGCGACAGCGTTTTGGCTGATAAATTTTCAGATACACCTATTCCACTTTGAAATGCAGTTCGTAATGCTGTAATCTAAATATTTTGAACACAATTGCATGGCTTCAACTAAATATATTTTAAACGCAATTGTATGCTATCAACTACAGATAAAATGTATTGTTGGTCATTTTGCTATAAAATGAATTATGGGTAATTTTGCTATAAAATATATTGCTATTCATTATTATTTAAAAAGAAGGTAGCAGATACACAGATTTTATGCGACAGCGTTTTGGCTGATAAATTTTCAGATCCAATTGTTCCACCTCGCAATGCAGTTCGTAACTTGGTTCATAAATTTCCGGAAGCAGGATCAGTGAACGATGCCGAACCTTGTTGAACGGACGAGATACTGTTGGATATTACAGTACCAAGTCCAAGTCCAAGAAAATCATGACGGAAGTTAGCACTGCAGCAAGATATTGGTCTTGGGACTGCTCAGAAGCTGTCAGAAAAATTAAAACTCTTCCCATACAAAACTGATATCGGTTTTCAGAAACAAAATAAAAAAGATCGAAGACTTTATTAATGTTAACGGGCATCATTTTCAACATTGTTTATAATTTCCATTCATATTACGCTTCCATGCTGAAATATGTCTGTTAATAAAAATATAAGTGCATAGTGACTTTCCGAACACCCTGTATTTAGTATCTGGCTATATTTCTGAGATGATATATTTCTACACTATTTACATTATTTGGACTATTGTCCTCATCTTTGTCGGCATCTGTAATTATCTCCTGTTAATTCCTCTCTCCAAGTTCTCTACCATCTTAAGCAGGTATTGAACTTACATTCTTTGGGTCCTACCACTGGATCTAACCAACGCCATGTCTTCAAGGACACATGGCACAGTAGATAAAGGCGTTGCTTAGATCCAGTGACAGGACCCAAAGAGTGTGAGTTCAATACCCGGTTAAGGCAGTGGAGAACTTTCAGAGTGAAATTAACAGGAGATAACTGATAACTGACATCCATTAAACATGACACGTGGAACTAGAACAGTCTACCCCAGTGAGCGAAATAAAGGGTTCAGTTCGACATTCCAACCACTTGAAGAAGGCCGGAGCGTACAACGGCCGAAACGTTGTAATAAATATGGCGACAAAGATGAGGACAATAGTCCGCATAATGTAAATAGTGTAACCTGTATTTATATAAAATAATTTAAGAGAAGAATAAAGCAGTCACTTTTCAAAATTTTTAGAGAAACAATATTTCTTTCATTCGATTGTTAGACACTTTCATGACGGCCGTCCTCGAGTATAGAATCCAGAGGTTGGTAGTGAATATTTCGGAGACAGTAGGAAAGCGTAGTGCAGGTTCGCAGTGGATATCGCAGCAGAGCGTAGTTCTTCCGTCTGTCATGTTCGCCGGACAAGTTATCTCTGGTCCTTCCGGTGATAAAACAAAGATGGTCGCCTTTATGCACGACGGATACAGTGTTGGGCGGCTTCTGATTGGACAACCTTCTATTAGTCGACTATAAAGGGAAATAAGTCATTTTGACTCGCTCACTAGTTACATATGGTATATACCCAAAAAACCGTAACATCGATCGCATGACATTTTTCATCTTGAGGATTTTCAGTTTTCTATCGAGGCGTAACTTATTGAGGTTTACACATTTTAAAGATAAGTTCGTGTGTTAGCGGTTGATACGGAGACTGAACAACG